GCTTTCTGTTGCGCGCGTACGTTAGCATAGTCGCTTTGTCACATTTGAATTGGATCTTACAACACAATAATAGAGACTAACAGCTAACACTGAAGCGAAATACGCAAAGTTCGTTGAGTTCGTTTATAAATTAGTCACCATTGTATATACAGAAATTTCAATCCTCTGCTAATGAAGTCGTCTTGCGCATTGCTGTTGCCAGAGCTGCAGTTGCTCGCGGTGAAATTCCAGAAGCGCTCAGGGCGATAGCTTCAATACCAATGGGAGCCAAATTAAACCAGGTCGTATTATGCTTGTCCCGAAGAAAATCACTGATTTATGTTAACTTTCTAGATCTCCAACAACAAACTTGTGTTGGAAGTTTTATATGATATGCTCGATGCCGGAGAAATGGATGCGATCGAAAAGGTATTCTAGTTAATTTTTTGTATTATATATTTTCTTACATTCCTTTCTAGTTGCTGCCTTATCTGGTAATGACAGAAGAAGGGACATCTTTAAGTGAATGGCATGCGAATCCATCGGTTTTGGCTCGATCACGCCGCGCATGCGCTGAAGGGAAATTGGATGTCGCTCTTAAACTCTACGGGTTGCTTCATCCGAAATTCAAAAATAGGTCTGCAGTTGATTATCAAGATTATCTGATATGTTTGCTGATCTATTTAGTTATTTCGAAGCAGCGCTGCTTGATTCATTAGGTGATCGATTGAGAAACAACAGTTTTGCTTTGGATGATATCTTTGCTCTGGGAAAGTTGATGGAAACAATGGGATTAACGAAGTAAGTGATGATTCTCCTGCGCGTGCTTTGATACCTCACAATGTTATTTTCCTTCTTTTGGGGATCACAATCTGCTTCTGCTCGAGAAGTCCGTCAATACTTTACGAGCTCATGAAGTATTCTCGAAAGTCTTATCGCGTGGGCAAATTGAAAGGTGTCTCGCCGAAAAACCTACGCTCAGAAGAAGTCTTGCGAGAAGAATGAGTGAAAAAGTAAGTGCCTACTTGGCGAACACCTCCTTGTCTGTGATTTGATGTTTGTTATTGCTGTACTTATGTCAATTCTAGCTTACAAATTCGAATTTGAAGAAGGAGGAGCGTGTGAAAATATTGGCAGATATCGCTACTGTGCTTTTTTCTTATGACAAGGAACAATCAATTCAAGACATAATGGCTGCTTACACAGTTATTTATGTTTTGGGTGGGAAAGGCAAGTTCTATCTTTAAAGCTTCACCTTTTCCTTTTACGTTTCACGCTACTCACTTACGAGCCTCATTATTGGGTAATCCAGTTTGATCAGATTTAGCATTTTACTTCTCACCTTGTAGACGTCATCCTCGCGATTCCTGCTTTGCAAACTATTTCGCACCCTCATATCCACAAAGAATATGCTACTGCATTGGTACAGCAGTTGTTGAGGAAGGGCGATCCACTGGGCGAAGAGAAGCTCAATAAATTACTGAATAGGCAAGACGAAATGCAAAAATTTTACAAATACTCATGTAGCGGTCTCCTTATTTGTAATCACCAAATTGTTGTTATAGTGGTGCTGTGCGTTCGATAAATCTAAGCCGTATCCAAAAGCAAGTTTCTGGGCTTTTGTTAAATAGCGAGAAGAAAGATGTTGAAGCTGATGAGCGCCAACTGACTTTGGCAGCGCGACTTATCTCTCTAAATTTCCCAGGTGTGAACTGAGGATTTTTATAAACCTTCTTCTATTCATTAGCGTCAAAATGCTTGAGGTGTTGTAGGTGAGAGCTCAAAAGGAAAATCTACTTTTGCTTCAAAGTACATCGTTCTACAACTGCAGTCTGAGCTTCTTACTTTCGAACGTGCTCGAAAAATGCTCAAAGTCATGGAAAAGGAGGCGAGTTTACAAATGTTACTGAATTTTTTCTGTACTTCTCCATGATTTTTCTCTTGGAAAGCTGTCTACATGTTATCC